TTAGATAAAAAAGCGGGATCATGAATAGAGGTTGTTCGTGTAGGAGGCATAATGAAGAAAGAATAACACTCATTTAAAATGTATAGTTAGGTGGGGAGACCCCGCTATATAGACGCTTGGGACAAGCGCTAGTCTAGGAAGGGGATAGTGTTACGGAGGTACCCGCACCGCAACATGGATTATAAGATAAACCTAAGGCCTTGGTGTTGGGACCTACGAAAACAGCACTGTAGGGACAGTTGAATTAAAGGGTAACTAAAGATAGCGGTAACCGAATAAATAAGCAGTGATTAAAAGATAGGTACCTATCTTTTATTGGCACCTACCCCACAGTAGGCACAGGTTGCACAACGGTTACAGATTAGCTAGTAAGCACAGGTTAAATAAGCGGTAGCCTTACCAGGTCACGAGGACAAGTGTCACGTGAAGGAAAGTCGATTCGACTTGTCGACTCGAGTAGTCGAGTAGACTTGACGATTCGATCAAAGTACGAAGGTCTATATAAGGGAATGGGTTTCATTACAATGTAGAGCTTCGTGCTCAAGAACAATCATTAGTTTCATTACTATAGTTACGAGAATTGCAACCAGTTACAACCTTATTGAATTCCTACTTGAAGTCTAGTCTAAACCACCTCGAGAGAACTCTAGACACTTCCACGTGACCCTAGAGGCAGCTCCCGTAACATTTAGGGACTCCCACTGGATCCCATTGCTCCCACCTGATAGGATACGATGGGATCAATGAGACAATAAAGAATAAAGGTCTATATAAGGGAATAGGTTTTATTATAATGTAAAGCTTTGTGCTTAAGAACAATCATTAATTTCATTATTATAATTACAAGAATTACAATTAGTTATAACCTTATTGAATTTCTATTTAAAGTTTAATCTAAACCACCTTGAGAGAATTCTAGACACTTCTACATAACCCTAGAGGCAGCTCCCGTAACACAATCTTAAAGGAAAAGATACTAATTCTCTTAATAAACATATTTAATAATAGATTGACAATTCGAAAAGAGGTCTACAATTTGTCCTACTCAATATGAATTCTTTAAAACTGATTGTATTCATTAATATATTCTTTACTAATAATAAAGATTTATTCTTTTAGATTAAATATATTATTGTTTTAATGAATAAATACAATAAAGCTAATATTATCTATTGATTATTTATTAAATATAAAAAAATCACTAAAAATGTATTAGTATTAGAACTCTACACTATAATTTTAGGTTTTAATATTAATATAATAATTAAAAACATAATCAACAAGATCTTCCCAAATTATAAGATCTTACTAATTATATACATCAACTTTAAATCATTTTATAACTATCTTATAAAACTCGGAATTACTAATAAAAAGAGACTAATAATTAATATAATAACGATTTGAGAGGTGTATAAGAAATAAAAGATTATAGAGATTAAATAGATTAATAAAGACTTTAATCCTACAAATATAATAACTAAATTCAAGCTGTATCAAGCCTTAAAAGATTTGATTGATAACAATACTATAAAGATTAAGGTCATAGAATAGGTTGAAAGAGATTAGAAGGACGAGTGATTATATAGACAAAAGAGGTATTAACTAAAAGGATACAATCCAGTGATTTTAAAGAATTATTAGTATTAAAATAAGGATTATATAACTATGTTAGTGTTGATGTTAGTATCTTTCGATATTACAACAATATGTTTCGTAACCCTAGCTTTTAGAACCTCAAGTAATATAATAATAATATGAACCATAATACTATATTGACTTCACCATCCCCATGGTGATACCAACACATTCAATTGTTAAGTTCTATATCATAATTCATTGAAAGAAAAAGGAAGTAGCCTATATCGAATAATTATAGTTGATATGTAAAGTGAAGAAATGGAATCAATAATATAATCTTCAATTCATTATATTTTAATATAAATTCTATATTAATATAATTAGAATGATTATTTACAATTAATAGCTAATATCCTTTACCTGTTTTTAAATATGTATAATATTGAAAGACTTTTGTAAGTTAATTAAGTCCAAAAGTATTAAATAATTATTCATTATTTGAAACTTTGAAATAAATTTGATCTTTTATATCCACCTTATCAACTCATATATCTTATAGATCATTTGATTCCTCTTTATAGATCAAAATAAATAAAAGAACTATACTATCAGTAGCTATACATACTAAAAAGATAATAAACTCTTTCAATTCATCTTATTTAATTTTTGTAACTCTATCTCTTTTATATATATTAATATTTATTATCCTTTTTATAATTCTTCTAAAATTAATCAGAAACCTTTTCTTATTCTAATTGTATATATTTTTCAATATAATATTATATTTTATAATCGCTTTTGCTAATTAGATAAATAAAAAAGAAAGATTAACAAAAGCTTTTTTAAATAATATAAATTAATAATAATATAAAATAGTATTAATAAGATTATAAAAGTATTCAAATATATTTATATTATTAACCTTGATATATAAATTATTAATATAATAAAGATATTAATTTTGAATACAATTTTTATACTACTTGACGAAGTTAACTATTCAGTTCTTCCCTATATAATACCCTCTTATCTCTTCTACTAAATTCCTAATTATAATACTTGTAGAAGGTATAAATCTTTATATTAACTTATTAATCTAATCTAATAAAGCCTCCTTTTATTCTAATAAAAAATATTAATATACATTGATATAATCTATCTTACAAAAAATAGTTTTGCCTTTATACCATTTTAAGAATGTAATATAATCGACTCTATATAAATAAGCTATCTAAATATATGTTACGGGAGCTGCCTCTAGGGTCACGTGGAAGTGTCTAGAGTTCTCTCGAGGTGGTTTAGACTAAACTTCAAGTAGGAATTCAATAAGGTTGGTAACTGGTTGCAATTCTCGTAACTATAGTAATGAAACTAATGATTGTTCTTGAGCACGAAGCTCTACATTGTAATGAAATCCCATTCCCTTATATAGACCTTCGTACTGTACTGGAGCGTTCAGGACCTAGAGAGGTCCTGGACCTTTGGTCTGTATGGACCTACATTCCGTTATGCCTGTCATGCAGGGTCCATCACGTGCTAAGAGTCATGTGACGCGGTACCGAGGATGGACCGGCGTAACAATATATTTAGGATATTCTTAGCCTTTAATATAATCTAGTACAAACTCCATATAGCTTTTTGAAGACATATTATCACGATATTTAGATAATGATATTGATATTTTTGAAAGCTAAAAAAGCGTACACGATACAGGGACGTGCACGATATAGGGATATCGATTAGCTAGCTTGACGTTGTGACACGCTCTCACGATGATTTGGCTCAGAATCTTGTTTGGAAGAAAGAATGGAGATAGATGTCCAAATGAAAATGGGTTGAAGTGGATTGAATCGAAAATGTTTACTTCCTCTGCATTACTTTAGCTTCCGGATAGCACTACAGGATACTGCTAAGCAATGCATGAGCTATGTGGAGCTTCACGTTTTCTCAATATAGGGTAACCTTATGTAGGGGATCTTCTTGGCTAAGAAAAATTTCGCCCCCTTCCCTTGTCCTTGCTGTCGATCTCGGCGTTTTCCACTTCTCTTCACCTCTTTCACCTCCGTTGTTCAACCACTACCTCTAAGTAGGTACCTCTACTCTCTCGGCAGTTGAAGATATACACAGAACGCCATTCAATTATTTGAGTTTGTACGACTCACCGACTTAATGGATCACCGTGATCTAGACCAAGTATTTCAAAGATACGAGATGTACAGACAGAACTATCTATCGCGTTACGGCAAAACTCCCCATCGGACTTCCGTATTGGGAAGTTGGAAGTCCAAGCAAAAAAGTTACGATGATGTTGTATTGCATCACAATCAAATTTCCATTGCTTTTTCTCCACACAGCCACCACCATCCATCCTCCTTATGTTTCTTGAATCCTTAACGTTTCAAAAAATCGGATTCGTCCGAACAAGTTGCATCAAAAGCAATTTTTCGTCTCATAATGATTGATATGTTGGCAAAGCACTTAATATCAAGTTGAGATACCCACTTCAAAGGGTATCAAAGCACCAATATCCTGGCTATCAACATTTCTTAGCCCCGCCAAAACATATCAAAACGGTCTAAAGGAGTGGGAAACGGGAGTTGGTGTACCGAGTTGAATCCATTTGTACCAATCGCATCTTGAGAATGTTTTTGCAACTCTACAATGAGCGTCGAGCATGCGCTTTGTTCTTCTCCCCAGATATATTGTATAATTCGTCTTAACGTCTGTTGTCCTTCATCTCTGACCTGGGATCGTGCCGTCGGGGAAGTTTCCTATGATGTTTATTCCCCGTCTGATGCTTCTGATACTCATGCGAAGCTAGTACACCTGCAGCTGGTCGAAGTACCTATTCAAGCTGTAGTCTTGATAGCGCATTGAGGAAAAAGCTCGGCGTAGAGGTCTAGTGATCACATACATAGTTGAACATCCATTGACATACCGGTACTGTACCCCGTATTGAAGGGTAATCCTTGCTGAATTGGTTTTCACGAGGGGTTTTGTGTAGCTCACCATCACCATTTCACCTCGGAACTTCTACTTTTTCAATAGCAGAAATGTTGTTATACCCTTCATCTGGTGTGCAATAGCAGGTGTATTGCATACTTCGATATTTGGTAAGTTTCATCTTGACTGGCTGACAAGCATCAGTATACTATTATCGGCTTGAAACTTCATCCCAAGGCCTCCTAAGAATTAAGCATATGCTATGATCTGACGGCATTCTCCACAAAAATAAAAAACGTTCCTAATTGCCGGGTTCGACTTTGACGATATAAAGTCAGAATATTCTCCATTCAACACAACTTTTCTCATCACTGATGATCATCTACACATTCTTTTACTTATCCATTCATTAGTTCATCCATCTTTATTAAACTAACATCATTCGTTGTAAAAAATATTAATAAACCAATTTCAAAATGAAGACCTCAACTCAACAACTCTTGTCCATTCTCCTCCTTCCTCCCTCCGTCTTTGCCGCTCCAACAGGTTCCATCGAAGCTAGAGCATGCTCAGACGTAACGGTCATCTTTGCCCGTGGAACGACTGAGATTGGAACTCTTGGTACTGTAGTCGGACCACCTTTCCTCTCCGCTCTCAAATCTGCTCTTGGGTCATCTTCAGTCACCATGAATGGTGTCAACTATCCAGCAGATATTCCAGGCTTTTTGCAAGGAGGTGATCCTACTGGCAGTAAGACTATGTATGTTTTTTCTCTTCTTCTGAAACTTCAGTGCCACTGTGACTAGTTACTTTCCTCTTCAAATATTTAATAACACGTCACGACAGGGCCTCAATGGTCACATCAACCTTATCCAGCTGCCCAGACACAAAAGTCGTCATCTCTGGTTACTCACAAGGCGGTCAACTCGTACACAATGCCGCCAAACTTTTACCAGCCGACACAACAGCTAAAATCAGCTCTGCCGTTATCTTCGGTGACCCAGGTTCGTCCCAACCACTTTGCATATTTCGCACATGGCATGAATTCTAAAACTAACGCAATAACCAGATAATGGAGATGCAGTCCAAGGTGTCTCGGCCGATAAAACAGATATCATATGTCACGCCGGAGATAACATCTGTCAAGGCGGAAGCTTGATCTTGATGGCTCATTTGACTTATGGAATGGATACGATGGCAGCAGCTGCATTTGTTAAGAAGGCAGCCGGATTGTGAGAGATTTGGCATGAGTCAGACGACGATTCGCGGTGCGCATTGGATTGGTTGGAGTTTCTTGGAGTGATATGGTACGACATGGGTAGTCTTTCGTTCTCGAAATTAGGCATGGAGTCTTGAGTTTTTGACATGGAAGGGCTTGTCTGGTACATTTTGCTTCTTCTTCTTCTTCTTCTTCTTTTTTTCCTGTTGGACTTTTCCTTGCTCTTCTTTTCCTGTTAGGCAAATATCACTTCAATTGGGATGAGCTATTTCAATTATAGAGATTTTTATCAAGCGGGATTGGATTGATTGGGCCAGTAGGATTCATTTATCTTCTGCTTCCTTGCTTGCATGTTAGCTTTTTTTTATAACACAAACCAAATAACAAAAGGCTGGTTCGAAAATAACTTCAAATTTGAAATGTGATTTCATGTAAATTGTTCACGACTTGTGATTTGAGCTATTTCCTTCAGTAATGAATAGAAGAGAAGATACACGGACAAGGTTATTTATCTCATCTACATATCAAAGATGTGCAAATTGAAGAACATATAAGGAGACGAGTTTTGCTGGATTTGAAGTATTAGATATAATCCCTTCATCTCGTAATAATCCAGACTGTCTACTACCTACTATTTATCCTCATAGATACACTATTCAGGTACTTACACTCACTATCTTGCATCTCTGTATATCTTGTTCACTATTTTTAATATCTAATTACTATCTTTTATTCTTCACATCAATTGTGCAAATCTAGTTGCCTCTTCTGATACCTCAAGTTCCACCCCCCTTCATTCCCCCGCTTAATTCGCTATCCCTCTATTTACAATATATGTGACAATCCCGAAATATCAGAAGCTATGATATCGATTAATACGGTACAGTGATTTTGGCAGAAGAAATGTGTAACCTTGTCCATAGAGATTTGATATGAATACGTGATTAACAGTAATAAGTTTGGAAATCTCGTGTGATATTTTATCGGTCTATTTGAGATAGTTAGATACGATAATAAATCATCAATAATATAGCTCTCCCCAGGATATCCACAAGTACAAAGGTCATTGAAGATAAAATAAGAAATTAGGTGCTGTAGGTTAATTGCTCTCATCACATTACCAGGATGTCCGACCCTGAATTCCACCCCGCTACCCCGCTATCTCCCTCACAAACAAATCCCACTCCTCACCCTAAAGAAATCTCCCCTCGTACCCAAATGCCCAACACCATTTCAAGAATGTCCCCAAACCTCGAAATCGCAACCTTTACTCCCTCCTCCGCCCTCCGAGCGCTCAAATCCGGCGCGCAACGCATAGAACTATGCGCGCACAAAGATAGAGATGGATTGACGCCTGATATGGATGATTTCTCGAGTGTATACTCTGCACTCCATTTCCAGAATGAGAAAACTGACGACGAGAAGATCTACGAGAAAGAAGAAAAAGAAAAAGGAGAAATCAATATAATGATTCGACCTGTGGATAATAGTTGTCTGGGAATAGGATCCAATGATAATTTCAGGGTGGGAGATGAAGTGTTTGAGGAGATGAAGGGGGAGATTAGGAGGTTTAGAGAATTGGGGGGGAGGGGGTTTGTTTTTGGGATTTTGATGGATGAGGGGGAAGCAGGAAAGGGATTGGTGGTTGATAGGGAGAGGTGTGCTGAGTTAATTGGGATTGCGAGGGAGGGGAAGGACGGGGAGAATGTGAGGTGTACGTTTCATCGGGCGTTTGATCGGATTGAGAGTGTGAGGATGGAGGAGGAATTGGAGGTGGTGAGTTTTGATTCTTTGGTTTTACCTTTGCTTTGGAGCTATATTCGGGAATTGTTTTGGCTTTCGTAAAATTGCTGGGTGAGAAGAATGGCCTGATAAATTTAGCTCATAAATCTAAACTTCACATCTCTCCTCACATCTGGAGGCGCTCCCACTTCGGTTCAAGGAGTTGTGCAACTCCAAAAATTGGTACAGCAAGCAGCGGGTAGGATCGATATCATTGTAGGAGGCGGTGTACGCAGTAGAAACCTCGAAGAGTTGATGGAAGAAACAGGAGCGAGATGGTTCCATAGTAGTGCTGTGATAGGAGACGGAGAAGATGTAGATGGCGAGGAGGTAGAGAAAATGAGGTATATCTTAGAGGGTACGAGAGTTGATTAAAAATGGCTTGGTGATATGGCTGTAGGGTCTGATGGTATGATTTCACGTTCAAATCTTTTAAAAGGGGCGTAGAAGTATTTGGGGGTTGACAAAGCCCTCCAAAATAATTTATCTGGAGCATTTCAGACAAAACCGCCTTCCTTCTTCACATACAATAATATCCATGTTACTACCTTCTTCCCAACCTATACTTCCCAATCACCAATTCTTCATTCATTCGCATAAAATCAAATGTTCTGGCTTCTTCCTTATCCAGCTGCACGATCTCAGCTCTAGTGCGCCCATTATTGAGTTCTGAAAAGGGTAACCACAAAGAAGTGAAGACCCATTTATCAATGCCAACATATCTTAGGTTTGAATCCCTTCTCTGATTCTTCGCATGTTCTTGGAACGTAGTAAAGATCCTCTTAGCGAGACTAAATGTATCCTCTTTACACGTTGTAACTTGTGAGCGCTTACCACTAATAGTTACTGTGGCGCAAGAGAACATCAGAATACGAAGCTTTGAGAGCTGGAGAAGTGTATCGCGATGTTGATCCTAAGGTTTTCATTCAATTCTCATACGTCTCAATACCAACGCATATTCATCCTGAAAGTGATACGTACCCAGTTAATCCACATAATTCCCAGCTCCTCCCACTGATATGAAGGCTCATCCCAAGAAGCCTCGTAGATCTGGTTCATACAACTTTCTTCACCTGAAATCAATAATTGACGCCACTTGAAGTGCATAATCAGAGTCAAGACTTCACCGAGGCTTGAAGAGCCAGGTGCTCGCGATTGAATTGTACTGTCGAGAGTTGCTTGAAGCTCTCGCAGGGTCGTTTTATTCCATGAATCTTTCATCGTAATTAAGTGATGAAGTAATTTTACGACTTCTTGACTGACAAATTCTACAGAAACTCTCTGGAGAGCAGTAATGCCATCAAATAACTCCAGTTGTATAGTTTCATATGGCTCCCAGTAATTTTCTTCAATACATGGGTCGTTCAATAGTCGTAATGTACGAAGCTTCGTTACATCTGAAAGTTTTGATAATCACCACTGCTTCCAGTCGTATTTCACGTCCATGAAAGGGGACTGATGGTACATCCCTTTTCCCAATATGAGATCTCGCAAGTTCAATCGTAGATCTGGCTTTCCAATCGCTCGTCTCAGAATGTCGAATTCTGCGAAAATATCCAAGAATAAATTGTTTGTGGTTTCGCTTCCCGTGAGGTCTTCTAGATCGAGACCTAGTGCCGTAACAGTAGGTATACCATCGTTCTATGTGATATGAGCTATCTATGTATCAAATGACTCGATAAAGAAAATGATGACAAGAACGTCTTTACGGGACAACAGCTAAGGATCGAAAAAGAGTGGAAGAGAAGTCTCTCCACATAGCGGCACGCATGAATGAATTGCATAGCAATCTCGCACTTCAAGATCCGGAGATCCTCTTCATTGACCTGAAGTTAACCTAATACCCCAATGATAATCCAAGTTTAGCTACTCTGATTTCAATGAGAGGTAGATTCTAAAGTCAAGGCAGAGTAAACCGAATATTGAGGAGGGTAATTTCTACAAACGTTATTATCTTCACACTTACAAAAAGAATGCCGGCAATGCTCGTGCCCAGAACGTCCATGTCACCCTTCAGGCTCCTCAAATCTAGGCTATGCAGGTTTCTGAAATTTGGAAGTTCTGGCGGCTGATAAAGGCTCCGAAAACGGGTTGCATTCTTCGATAGATCGAGACAGATATCCCTGATGTTATCGAGATGGAAATGAGCTGCGAAGCCAGGAACCGTGCTAATAGTGAATCAGATCAGTCTATCAACCATAGAGATATCAAATGCCAAGTACGTAATGGAACAGCTTTCGAGATTTGGCATGTTGTCTAAACACCTGGAAAGGCAAGCCTGGATAGCCGCTCCAACAAAATCAGGGTCTAATCGACGTGTGTGACGGAGATGGGTCTCAACAGGAAGTTGGGAGATGGCCCCTAATTGTCGATTATTCCACTGAAGTTCATCTCCATCTGTAAATTCTGGTAAAACAATCTCCCGGTAAAGCGCAGGTCTGAAGATTTCATTGAGTGTCTTGATACTTGTTCAGCATTATTTCTACATTTCAATTTGATGAATTCACCTTGGATGTAAGACATAAGGTAGTCAGAGTCGTCTTTGGTAATCGCTGATCAGCAAGTAACATCCACAATTCGAGAGGAAGATAGCTTTTCATCGTTTTAAAGGATCGAGAAAACAAATGATGGTAGCAGGTTGCCGGTCAGATGCTCATTAATGGACCACAAATGGCCTGCTCAGCCAGTTACAATGATTAAAAAAGCAAGATATTGTTGTGAATGGCTGATGTGAGTATCTTTTAGCGGCCAGTAATTGTTATCACCACGTTATTTTGCAGGTTCTCGTATCTTGGTGGGAGAAGGACAAACGCAGAGGTCGTGGAGATTTTGTTTGGTTGCTGCCTCGAATTAGGCCAGCTTTTAGACCCCTGTCACTCCCGCTGACCAATCAGAATTCTCAATGTTTGACGACGACCAATGGCCCGCGATTGCACCAGTGCCCCCATTAACCGCGCGTTAAACACTCATTCGGGTGCGAGACCTTTTCACCTGTGTCAAGTGAAATATGACCTCTACATTCGGTCCTCCTACATAATCATTAAGGTCGATGATTGAGGCTGGTTAGAGTATCTGTGTATGTTGACCTCACCGAATATGTCGACCAACAATCTTTTAATCTACACACATCCTCGAACTCGTATCTTACGGAAAGAGGGTGATCTTTTAATGGTATGGTCATGATGAAGAAATCTAAGCATGGGGAATTGTTGCAGTAGTAGTTTTCCAGAAGAACAGCTACCTCGTGCCCCACCGGGACGTAGAGGTTATCCTGTAGGCAATACTCGTAAGCTTGTTCAGGGTCTGTTGGTGAGTTTTTGTCTTGATACTAACGTCGTTCCCAGATAATGTTTACCATACCAATCCAGTATTAGACTTACTTGAAGAAGAGTACCAAATCAAGAGAAATTTTGAAGCAGAAACAAAAGGCAGATCTAGGGGCAAGAGACGCGATCGAGATAGAGATAGAGATATTGGCCCCAGGCGAAACAGAAAATGCGAAAATCGCAGTAATAGTCGCTCTGGAACTCGTCAAAGAGCTACTCTGAGTGGTAAGAGATCGCGTGTAATTGGTCCCAAGAATTGCCATAGAAAACCCAAAGCGAGTAGGAGGAGACGGAAAGATTTCAGCGAAGATGAAGATGAAGATGAAGATGAAGATGAAGATGAAGATGAAGAAGATGACAATGATAGCGATGGTAGTGAATTCGAGATCAGGGACGATGATGTTGAATTTGATAGCGACAGTGATAGTGACAGCGATTCTGAGATCTATCGCCGGAAGATGTCAAAGTCGGTCAAAAGCCGGCGAAAGGAGCAACCTCGAAACAAACGACTTGGAAAAATAGTCAAGGTGATCGATGAGGACGAGGATGATGACTACGATGAGTCCTTGGAAGAGGAAGACGATGATGATGATGAAGAGGACTATGAGAATCACACTAAACAGAAGAGTAAGAGGAAGAAAAGCAAGAGCAAACCAAGCATCAATGAAGTTCCAAAGATTAGAGCAAAGGGCAAAATCAAGCTAAAACCGAAGGTCAAGAAGGTGAAGCAGGATGATAAAATTGCTCTATTAGAGAGGGAGGATGATGAGAATGATGTCGATAATGATGATGTGGAAGACGACGATGAACAAGAAGATGCAAACAAATATCCCCAGAGCAAAGATTACGAAGCGGGAGGCAAAGGAAAAGAACCAGAAACGCCGAATCCTTACCGGTGGACAAATTCCTCACAAATATTCGACAAGAATAAGAGCAGCATATACCAAAGAGCCAGATCGAAAGGGTCTGATCGCGAATCAATTCGTCAACTCGAAATCCAACGTCATCGTAAAAGGCGAGAACGAGAATCGTCACTCAAAACTCCTAAAAAATCTATCTCAGAAAGCCCTGGCGAAGATGATTGGACCGACACAGACGCATCTTCAATCACACCCTCTAAACGATCCGGCAGTACTTCATCTCGTCTATCCTCCTTATTTGGCCCACGAAACCGAGGTCTAACACCGGGACCAACTTCCCATTTGATGTCTCCCATCTCACCACTCACTCGACCTTCCGTCTCATCGAAATCTGGAGAAACCACCTTTGGCGCCTCGGTGATCAAGGCATCGCCACTACAAGAGATCGTATCTGCAGACTCACTGCCCGCAAATCCTGAGCCAAAAGAAGCTATCATAACACCTCCTCCAACGGTTCATCAGCGGCCAGTCTCACCTCTTACCAAAGCTGCTGAGCCGTGTCCGGAGGGAATGAAGAAAGTTATTTTCATGAGTCGTGGCAAGAGAAGCTCTATAAAATTGATACCTTCAGATGGGAAGCATAAAGCTACTGATGATGTTGAGATTATTCTTACCAAATGAGGAGTTCTTGGTAGGTGAAATACAGTGAAGTATCTTTTTGTCTGGACATGATATCAATTCTTGTCCCTTGTTTCATTCTCTTCCTTCGAGAGAAGAGCAGTTGGTTTTATCGGAGGAGCAATTCAAGGTGTAGAAAAGGAATAGTAGTACCGTTAATGGCAGGAGTTACAAATTGGCGTTTGAGTTTGATTTTCGTACATACCCTTTGCATATAGTATAACATCAATTACACATTTTTTCAAGTCTACTAGGTGTCCCTGATCTAAATCGTAGAGCCGCCAGGTTTTCACATGATTGATGAAATCAATCGCACACTAAGACATAATACAAGCTTTTATAACTCACTCCAGATTTATCGTGGGCCTTGTACTTTTGACGATCAGATTGGATTTAGTACATTGAAGAGTTGTGTAGACTACTTAGATAATCGCAGGCTGAGGTCCTCAATAATCCCAGCGGACCATCATCACTATCACACCTCTAAAAGAGGGCGTAGATTAGTGAGTCCTAGTGGGGAGATGAAAGGGGAGTATCGGTGTAAAACAAGGGTGAAATACCAAAATAGCGACTGGGGCGAACACTACTCATGGAGGCGAGAGTAAAAGTCCCGGTTCACCTCCCCCTTCTCACCAACCAACGTCTACTACTATAACTACAAAATCCAGCAAGCAAGTCATAGAAAAGTTTGTATTTATACAGGTAGTATGACCACATATCATACTGATCAATCTCCTGCTGCTTCAAGGGCTTAGATACAATCTTTCACTTACTGCTTGAGCGATGGCAAAGACAAGGGGAAGCTCTCAGGAACCATCTTTCTGCTCTATTGATCAACATGTATTCTATTACACCTAGGCGCCTTCTCGTAATTTTTAAATTGACTAGGCAATCACATGAGGAGAAGAAGCTCCTCTTTGATCCATATTGTGTTTGAATGGTCGTATTTCTCATCATCCTACTCAATACTTGTATTTCCTGTATGATGGCGAAGAAGCTTATGGGGCTTTTCATGTGTAGAGAAATGCCAAGGGACATTGTGTCGCAGAACTGTGTACAACGCAGACGGATTGAAAGAATTGGAGGATACAGAAAAAGGGAGAAGAGTGCCAGCAAGAGACGACCAAATTGATTTGTAGACTAAAGGCATAAGCAGGGTCGCCAGCAAGTCGACAGTCCAAACTACTCGAAGCTTTTGAATTCAAAATGCAATGGGAACATTCAAGTGCTTTAGAATTTGAAATCTTTCATTACTTCAAAAGATCGGATTATTTCTGAAGATTCAAAACTTATATCTCGTATACCAACACGAGCTACTAGGCACATTGGATGGAAAAGATATAATTTTGTGGGCAATAACGGTTGTAGACAAGACCTGATGCTCAAGTCATATTTGACATAGCTCAATGAGAACGCGGTGGATTGAGGAAAGCTGCAGCATAAGAGTTATGGTTCAAGATATCAGACCAGCCGGTTTGGGAGTAAAAAAACCTCTTGCTCCATATAGCGAAAGGATTTAGTATATTGCATGATGAGAGTCATGAATCTTGAGAACAACAACGGTAAATAGAAAATCATCAGCGCGAATTAAAGAATTACCCCAAGGTGCAAGACAAAGCATAAGGCTTATCTGGGGTATATTAGAATTCAGCTCTATAAATTTTGACAACCTCGTAGAAGATGTATAGCTCGCTGTCATTAGTGTAAGGAAATATACGCGATAAACGAAGGTCCTGTCCGTTTACTTGCTTCTCTTGTAAATCTTCTGCAAGAAGCTCTCAAACACGGTCTTCTTTAAGCCTTCAGATTCATCAACCTGGGAAATTAATTTTTTGATCTCACCAACTCTCTTCTCTTCATAGTCCTCATAGATCTGCTTCAGTTTCAATTCATCGAACAGCTTCTTCACTGCGGCTTCCTTCGTCTCATCTTTTTGTCCATAGTTCTCCTCAAGAATTTGACGCTGCTCGGGTGTTGCAATAGCCAATGCTTTGTTGACGAGCCAAGAGCACTTGTTGTCCATGATATCAGTTCCAATCTTTCCAATATGCTCAGGTAGACCGAAGTTGTCAAGATAATCATCTTGGATTTGGAAATATTGGCCAAGCGGAATCAAAATATCTTCGGCTTGCTTAAGATTCTTTGGAGTTGCAATCTTCTGGTGGTAAAGTGCAAGAGCTACGGGTAGGTAGAAAGAATAATAGGCAGTCTTGTATGTGACAATGAAGTCATACTTGGTCATTGAGAAGTTGTCCAAATCGACCTTGTCCTCTGGTGCGGTCAACAAATCGCACAATTGACCAAGTTCTGTCTGGTATGTAACTTCGTGGAAGAGTTCGATGAGATCAACGTAAGAAGGGTGAGAGCGGAAGTACTTCTTTAACAAAGAGTAGATCGCGGCTTCGAGGAGGAAAGCATCGTTGATAGCGATCATACCAACATTTGGTTGTCTGTACCAACAAGGCTGACCGCGACGAGTGATGCTGCCATCCATGATATCATCCGATACAAGGAAGAAAGCTTGAAGAAGTTCAGTCATCCATCCCAATGTGGCAGATTCGAAATATTGTTCTTCAGATAGGGGAGCTTCGAGGAGGAGAGACACCGAGTCGGGAACAGACATTCCACGATTGCATTTTCCACCAATCGTGTTGGCATATAGAGACTATACGCAGGAAATTTATTCAGTACATGCCATTTACAATGATTCTGGTGGAAAATCACTCACGGCCTTGAGCCAATCTTGACCCTGTTGAGGGAGGTTGTACTTTTGGGCATGGGCAAGTAAGTCCTCAACCAATTTTGGGAAGACGGATTCGAACTCCTTGAGAGTGGTGTTCTTCGCCATTTTTATTGCGTAAGAGATGATTGATCGAAGTGGGTTACGTAGGAATAGGACGAAAGGTATTGATAGCTAGAGAATGAAGAGTATGAACAGAAAGGAGAAGAGAGGAGAAGAGAGGTGATGAGAGGTGATGAGAGGTGAAGAGTGGTGAAGAGAGGTGGTGCTGTAAAGTTTAAACAATGGGGTAATATAGAGAAGGTAAGTTAAGAGTTAACAGGAAGGGATTAAATTATAAGCGGTGAAGGTGCGGGGTGGGCAGAATGTGGAAACACAAGCTTAAAATTTTAAATACTAGGTAATTAATTACCTACCTTACCCCTTCATATACTACCGGCCGCCGGTAGTATATGAATATGATATAAGGTTACTACCGGCCAGCTTTTATTTCGGCCACCAAACATCACCAAACACCCACCTAATAATAAGCTGTGTTAAGGTTAACCGCGCTTTCCATATCGCTTTCCATATCGAATAAGTTACTTGTTTTGATCCAAGACCTTTTTATTCGATTGATAGAACGTCCAATCATGACACTTTCTTGACAGTAATGCTGTGTAGTATCTAGCAGTGAATTGACTTTGCATGGTTCAAAACATTCTGGCGAGAATAATGTTGTGATTTGTTCCTGGGTCGACGAGGTATCAAAATCAACAAATCAACCCAAGGGCCCGGACCGTACCGTACCTTGAACCAAGCAGAACTAATTAAGACCCGGCTTACTAGTCTGCAGGCAAGCTTGAATTCCATAAGCTAGCCTAAAGCTCATATTCTGGAACAATTGAGGTGGAAAAATAACAACATGGCACTCACGGAGCGGGAAACAGCACAATTGCGAGGGTCACTACAGGAAGCCGTGGTGAAATGCTCGGAGAGATGTTTATATCAATCTGCAAAATGGTACAAATGCCTAATGGTGATGTTGCTTACGTTTATTGACCAATCGATTTAGGGCAGCAGAACTCCTAACATCTATACCGACAAATGATGACTTAGAGCCCGAAGATTCGCAGATGACAGAAGTTCCCGCAGAAGGACTGCCTCCAATTGTCCTTACTGGAAATCTCGATCCCGAAGAGGCACAACTCGAGGCGAGAGAGATCAACAAATATTTGTTGGCGAAATCATTTTTCGATTGCCGCGAATTCGACCGATGTGCGGCTGTATTCCTGCCAGATAGATTGCTCTCTGGGATTTTATCAACGACGGCTGGAAAAGGTAGTCAACACGGGGTGAACACAAGATCAAAGGGAAAAGAAAAGGCATCAAGTCGAGTTAGCACAGGCGCAACATCGGGTCTTCCAAAACTGAGCCAAAAGAGTTTGTTCCTAGCTCTATACGCAAAGTTCATGTCCGGTGAGAAGAAGAAAGATGAAGACAGTGAGATGGTAATGGGCCCTCACGATGGAGGAAATACAGTAAATAAACAGTTAGTCACAATAATTCGAATATTGGAGGCTTGGTTTCAAGAGAGAAAGACTGAAACTGGAGAGCTTGCGGGTAGTCAAGGATGGCTTGAATATCTGTTAGTCGAAATTTTCTTTTGGACTTGAATTTTCATTAACGAGACGTAGCTATGGAATGGTACTGGCCAAGGATAAAAATGAGGAAGAGGCGATGCGCTGGCTGGTCCGAAGTGTTGAGTTATTTCCCATGAATTGGGGATGCTGGTTGGAGATGACTTCTTTAATTTCGAGAGTTGAGGATGTAAGTAAGCCCCTTAAAATTGATGTTGAAATATTGACTTGCTGGGCAGTTGAACCGAATATCGCCACATCTTCCCCAAAACATTCTCTCGTTCATATTCCATCTTCACACCTCCCTAGAATTATACCAGTCGACGCCACAGCTGTCCAATTCTCTAGAGCAACTTCTTTCTATATTCCCAACCAGCCCTTTTCTACTCACATGCTTAGCTCTTCTATCCTATCATACTAAGGATTTTGTCACTGCTGATGCCCACTTCAGTCGCCTTCTTGCACTACATCCTCATCGACTAGACTCACTCGATCACTACTCTAATATTCTTTATGTCATGAATCTCAGACCAAAATTATCGTTTCTTGCACACCTTTGCTCAAGTGTCGATAAGTTTCGACCAGAATCATGTGTTGTGATTGGCAATTACTACTCACTACTATCAAGCCATGAGAAGGCTGTACAATATTTCAGACGTGCCTTAACACTAGACCGTTCTTGCCTCAGTGCTTGGACGCTCATGGGTCACGAATATGTGGAATTGAAAAACACCCACGCAGCTATTGAATCATATCGTCGAGCAGTTGACGTGAATAGGAGAGATTACAGAGCCTGGTATGGACTAGGACAAACATACGAAGTGCTTGAGATGCATGCATATGCACTGTGGTATTATAAACGTGCAGCAGGACTCCGTCCATGGGATGGTAAAATGTGGATGGCAGTAGGATCCTGCTTACAAAAAATGGGACGCGATTTGGAGGGTATAAAAGCATTGAAGCGTGCATTGTTAGCGGATAGCTACTACGATGCAGGTGTGGGTAGTTCATTTGGAAGTGGGGGTAGAGAAAGAGGAGGCACTATGGATCCGGAAATCTTACTCCAAATTGCTGGGATGTACGAGAGATTAGAGGATGAGAAAGAAGCACGAGGATACATGGAGTTGTGCATGGCACAGGAAGAAGGCAATGATAATGTAGATGCATCGGCTATCAACGTTCATAACGATTCAGCATCATCAGATGATGAAGGACGCCAACCATTGGCACCTACAGGTGAAGGTGGTAATGGCACAGGAGTCACTGCTGCGACCTCAAAAGCAAGGATGTGGCTAGCGAAATATTCAATGAGAACGGGTGATTACAAAAGAGCCATGCAATTGGCGACAGAATTGTGTCAAGATGGGGTAGAAGTAGAGGACGCAAAAGCTTTAGTTAGAGAGGTCAGAGTCAGACTAGAGGGATTGGACTCACCCTGAGTAACAAGTCGAAGGCATTCATAGGAGTTTTGAGATACCAATAAATATTGAGTTTATGTGAAGAAACGGGTACTATTGGCCATATTTGGTGCAAGCTGGTATATTGTTTACGTCATGGTGTTATGCAATTTAGTCACGGTGAGGGAAGTTTCGGTCTCCGAAGGGGACCGAAACTAGCCCCGGTGGGCTATCAAAACACCTATCTACCGTATACAGCCTAGATTATCTTAGATACAGAGAACAATCAGATCAACTTTCTTCTTCTTACAATACTCTGTGATTCATCACATTTTATCTAGTTTTGATCCTGGCTAGCGTCAGACTCATGATTCGCATATCTTCTTTTGCCACATCATCTGGACTTGTTGTTAATCTTTAGAAGTCATAGTTTTACTGTTATAGAATACCCGACGTAATGGATATTCCATTCACGCGTTGTTTCATGTCAGATACTGACCGTCTTCGCGAATATAATCCCGAATCTCATGAACTTGTTGAGAAGTGTCAATGTTCATGAAATGGCTAACAATTGCTACAAGTCATCAACAACATCGTCTCGACTCATACTTTTCATCTCTCGCGCACTAATTTCCTCGCCTATTTCTATCTACGTGCTCAAATGTATGATACATTACCTCTGTTCTTGGTTTTTGTGGGAGTCAATCTTTCCTCTCTTCTTCTCACGAGTGGTCTGAGCTAGTGCAATTCGTGCCCTATAAGCACTTTATCTCTTTCCTTCGTGTCATGACCACAGTAGTCTAACTCTAGGAATTGACTGCGGGAAGCTGCGGGAGCTGTTGATTCGGCAGTTCATGTATCACATTCGACTCTGCTGCGTCAGTAATGGCTTTGTCATTGATTTAGGAGACACTTTGGAAGATGATTCCGAGAACACAATGGGCTTGATGAATAGTTGAAACCCATGAAAGCTACCAACCAATAAGTCATACTCAGGAACTTATTGAGATCCGCCTGACTGTTACATATTCCGAGTCTGAAGATGGTCTCTAAGAGAGACTAACTAGAAAGGGGCGAGATTTCTCGTCGAAACCCAATTTTCCTTCTTTCTTCAAATCACGCCGCATATCTTGTTTACTCGATACTTGAAGATATGCTTCTGTAATTTGGAATGACATTCTGGGATCTGCTGATCAACTGTCGGTTTTATCCAAGCGATTTATATGAAGTTCAATCTATATAAATTGTGTAACACGGCCCGCTACTCCGCATATCATCATGGTATAAATCCGCTTTCTATATAATTGTGACAGTTCCGTATAGCCGTGCATGTACAGACATGTACTAGAAAGGAGGAATGCCTAATAAAAGCTTTTCGCTTTCGTGCTCTGACGAGTGCCATTGATGCATATTTCATTTTCATTAGGGTTTGCGAATTCATCGTTCCTTTTCTCCGTAAAGTTTAGAGCCTCTCAGCCATTGAAATCCGGGGTGCAGCTTGACATTATTCATCCGAAACGGCACTTGGCAATGGCATACCGCATATATATGCCACTTTCCCCATGCTGACTTCCCCAGATTTTGAATGTTGCCAAGACCCGGATACTTGTATATAATACCAATTTTATTCCATGGACTTGACATTAGAGGCTCGAGGAATGCCGGCTGTTGATGAATTTATCTGCTGTCATAGTCACTTGATGAGGAGATTATAAAAGCAATATCTGGCATGAGAATGATTCGATCCGCGTACATGAATGTAACAATACTAGATAAGAGTGTGATTATTTGCTGCAGATGCTGTTTTTACCAATTCCTACTTGCATAAATCTCCAAAAGTCCCCCTCTTTTAACTTGAATCTCGGATCACCCTAACCTTTCCATCACAATTTGTCTTGCCCATCATGAAATCCTTCGTTTCTTTGCTAGGACTTTCATTCCTTACGTGCCATGCCTCAGCTCATTGTAAGCATCCGCCTACTCGTCAAACTCAAGAATAAAGAGGAGCTAACATATTAGTAATTAGACATCTTCCAGTCACTTACCTACAAGAACATCCAATATCCACCCTATGGATACATTCGAATGAACAATAATTACAATAGTCCTGTCACAGATCTCGCTAGCAATGATCTACGATGCAATTCCGGAGGCGAGACAAGTAATGGAGCGCAAACTCTTACAGTCAAAGCTGGCGATTCTTTCTCTTTCACTGCAGACATACAGGTTTATCATCAGGGTCCTTTGTCTATGTAAGTTTCTTGTCTCTGTCATGGGTACATTATCGCATCGATATTGAGATTGACGTCTGTAGATATATGGCAAAAGCACCAACGACTGCAGCAGCCTTTGATGGGTCCGGCCAAGTTTGGTTCAAGATTTTAGATATTGGTCCTGCCTTTACAAATCAAGTCGCAACTTGGAATCTTTACCGTGGGTTTTGATTCACTTTATATTCCTAGGTATAACGGAAGCAAGAATGGAGAACTGATTTGAATAGAAACATATACCTATACTATTCCGCCAAATCTTCCCAACGGCGATTATCTTCTTCGTATTCAACAACTTGCTATTCATAATCCTTAGTAAGTTTAACTTCGACTGTTTGTTTTCACAAGATGTACGAGTAGCGAGGAAGAAATAGATGCTAACAACTCAATACAGTCCAGGAGGAATTCCTCAATTCTACATTGAATGCGCCCAAATAACCGTGACAAACGGAGGTACCGGAACTCCCGGTCCTCTAGTATCTATCCCAGGGTACGTTCTCCAAACACACACCTACAACTCCCTTCCTTCCATCTCTCACTCCCAAAATCTACTAACGCCCTCTTCCCGTAGAGCCTTCGCCGTCACAGACCCCGGCTACACAGCAAATATCTACTCAAATTTCTTCAACTACACTGTTCCCGGCCCCGCCGTCTGGGCTTCTCAAGGGGGGGCCTCGGTTTATGCTGGAATCTCGAATGGTAATAATGCGGCGACTACGTTGGCTAGTATGCCGGCTGGAACGGGGACGGCTACTACTGCTACCGCGTCTGTAACTGCTACGACGACTGGGACTTTAATCACAACGATCAAGACTGCAACTCTTACTACCACGACGAAGACTGCGACGAGCGCGACGGCTACGGTGACGGGGGCGCTGGTGCAGAAGTTTGGACAGGTATGTTTTCTTTCTCTTTTTGGTGTTGAGTTGTTTGAGTATTGGTGTGGGTGATGGTACTTGGTGATAGTGAACTGATGGTTTTGTGTTAAAACAAATGCTGATTGGAGTGCCAATATTAAAGTGTGGAGGTCAAGGATGGACTGGAGGAACGGTTTGTGCTGCGGGTAGTACGTGTACGGCTAGTAGTGTTTACTATAGTCAGTGTTTGTGAGTGGTGTAGGGGGATGATGAAAGGGGGTGAAAGGGGATAGTGGAATGCTATGTGGATTGGATTGGACTGATATAATATGAGATTAGTGTTCATGTGAGGTAGAGAGAAGCCGGATTTTGGGGAAGTTTGTTATTTTGTATATGAATGATGATGTTGTGGGGATGCAAAAGGTTTTACGAATTGCATTCAATTGCTGGGGAGTTATTACAATAATCTCGCACGTTGAACGTGTGGATGAGGTTTCACTATAATTCAATGGATAGAGGATGTATATTCGAATTAACATTGTGAGCTAGCCGAGATATTGTAAATGATCATGTATATACATGAATGTTTTCTCCTTCCTCTGCCCAAGTCCTCATAAATCATAGCCATAATCCATTACCGTATCCTATTTCCATTCCAATTTGCCTCAATAATACTATTATTTTCTTAAGTAGTATTACTGATTGCTAATAACTTGGTGTAGTTGGGCGTACCCAGTCCCGTTGCAGGATCCCAACCACTAACGGCCGAGAAACCAGCACCAGAAATAACACCAGTGCATCCGGTAATCTTACCGGTGGTAATATCGGTCAATGCGGATTTGGCGGTTGTGTATAACCATGGGTTGAGGAATCCAAGACCGGCTTTACCGGCGGCGACACGGTTGGAGTTGATGAGTTGGATGACGGAACTAAAGGTTGGGGTTGCGCACGAGGTACCGTCGACGAGTTCGGCGCTACCGGATGCGACGATTACGACTAGAGATGTTAGTAAATGATATCAAAGAACATGCGAGGGGGGTCTTACAGTTTGTGGCTTGAGCGGAAACATCGGGGTAGGCACGACCAGATGCGTTGAAGTATTTTGTTACTGCGCTGTGGGTGGTGTCAGTTGTGAGCCAAGAGTTGACAGCGGTAGTTTGGTAGGAAGGTTGTCCGAAAACAGAGGAGAATCCTCCACCACCATCGGCCCAAGCTGCCCTATTGAGAGTTAGTACTTTCATTCTTACAATGGTCTCATTGGGAAATATGACTTACTCAGGACTGTTACCGGTAGTGCCGCCAACAACAGTCACCCATGGGCAAGAAGCTGGGAAACTAGTAGTGAAACATTTGGTGGTTCCAGTGGTAACACAGGTAGTTCCTACACCGGAATCTCCAGATGCAACGAGGACGGATACACCACGAGCACCGAGTTGAGAGAAGAGGTTGCAAACTTCATCAGCGTAGCTCAAGGGAACAGTGTCTTCATCATCACCGTAGGAGATGGAAATGGTTTGTGGAAGTGTAGTAGCGGCGAGGAGGGAGTCAAGGAATTCTAGGTAGGGTTCGTTGGTGTTTGAACCACCACCTACGATAGGGGGAGATCCACCAGTTGAGTAGCTTTGATCCGTTAGTAAATTTTGCCAAATAAAATGGTTAAAAGTGAGCCAATGAAAAAACTCACTAGACGTTGGGAATCTCTGATGTGATAGCTCTAGCATATTGAACATCAAGATTAGCTTCAATACCTGGGTAACCACTGCCACTTGATGGACAAGTCCCTCCATTGATAAGGGTACAGGTGTAACTGTATGCTTTATTGGCGAAGTATGCATAGTTGTTCATGAAGGTGGTCAAATCTGTCTTGGATGGCCATTGCTTCAAGAACCCAGCAATACCAATCAACCCAGTTTTCAATGTAGCTGGGGCGGAGGTGAATGAGTAAAGGTTGGCAAGACATGTTGGGGTAATGGTGCTACCACTGCAACCTGTGACAGCTTCGGTACCCTCAACATTGAGCACACTTTCGTCAAATTTCTCATGTTGCTTGATGTTGGAACGCATTGCACGGAGACCAAAGAAAGTTGTTGGTTGAACAATATCGACGTGACCCTTCAAAGCATCAGGGAGACTGTATTCGAGAGTTCGGATAGCACCCTCGTACAAACCAGTGTGAACTAGAAGACGTTAGAAATTGGGATCAATTATGACGAGATCGATAAATTACCATAAGCTTTGTACTCTGCTTGGAGAAGCTCCTCAATCTGGCTGATACTTGCTTCTACAATAACAGAGTCACCACGTGCCGAAACACTTGTTTGGTTTGTCAAGCCTGCAGTTGACAACCATTGTAGCACAAGGTCACGCGACTGTGTCTTTGGTGCGATCATTTCATTGATCACCGTTTGATCGAGATGACGTCCATAAAGGGCGTGTCCAGGGGTTGCAATCTTCGCGAGGTTAGTCTAGATTCGCTTCTCTATGAAGATTCCCAACAGATTAAGAAGACTTGTTCTCATATCCAAATCCAGCATTACATATGACATGTGAGAAATGGGAAATCATACATCCATGGCCATCTTGTGAAATTCTGGCATGTTCTGTGCAATCAAATGCAATCTCAACTTCATCGTCGACACATCTTTGTCGAATACGGCATCCTCATCCAATTCCCAACCTGGTGGTGGAGCAGCAATCTTCTCGAAAACGCTGGATTTGCCAAACGTGGGTAATGCTTGGACTGCCGACGCAGCAAATGCCACGGAGAAAATATTGAGGAGAAGCATCTTGCCGAAGGTAAGAATGATTACAACGAAGAAGGCGTTGACGAAGAACTGCGGCATCGTGGCATACTTATGCCAATACTAGCCAAGGGAGAGGCGCAAGCTTGTCTCGCACAAGTTTGCGGCATCGCCTGGGTACCTGCTCCTCTGAGCCAATAGTGAATTAATTGCTTGCATTACGAACTGCCTGTTGGAGTTTCTTTATCCTTTATATCGTTACAATCACTCACACATGTGTTCTTCATTTATTTAAGCTTATCTTGTATCTCCATGATCATTGGACAATGCAAGATATGAGGCGTGGGTGATTGACGGATCGCCACGGCGGTGTGACTGTGTTAGGAAAGTCATGAGTGAATCGGACGCGTGAATTGAGCTTTGTGTCCCAAGTGGGAAAACTCTCCTTCCGCATATTTGAAGATTGCCGAAAGAAGGGGAAGGTCATAGAGCACAAATCCTACTTTACAATGAGCTACTGCAATTCTTAACGTAATGCTCTACCCTAAAGAGAAATAAAGAGGAAGCCGTGTTTAGGCGTTAGAGAATGGTCCAGGTTGATAAATACAATTGTAACTGTTTATGCAGATGAATCGAATGATTTTTGCATTTGTGGGACTAGTGGAAAGGAACTTCCTAAATAGGTCGCTGTAAAAAGGTGTCATTCAACCATGACGATAGTAATCCTTAGTTGCAGCAAATTATCATTGGCGAGAGATTAGATCGAATATCGCAGTACACTACAAAATCACGCGAGTTGGTATCTAATACCCATCTCTGCAGATTTTATCTAAAAAATTTGTAGGTAGATCAAGTAAAGTTATCAATTTCCGATCTCTGTTTAATTCCATGCTCAAGTCAATCATCTCTGAATAATTAACGAATATGTTTTTTCAAAGAACAATTTCATGTGCGATTCGAATATCGACCAGCCACTGCTATCCATTGCAAATAACAATATTAACATTACATCTATGCATCTGTTTCCCACTCAAGAACCCGGCCAGTGACTGGAGGGCGGTTCATTCAAAACATCAATAAGTGAGGTCGAATCCGATAATGTGGACTTGTATTAAGACATGTAAGACTGTCTCAACGTCTGATTAATCAACCGCCGGACCATTGTACACTGCCGCAAGGACAAGATATCAAAGCAAATAGGATCGATCAAGATCATGGTCATCTTTGAGTGTGTGAAATTTTGTAGATATAAGGTAGCAGATCTCCCAACGGTAAAACGAACAGCAACGATAACTATGCGACAAACCCTTTGGTAAATTCAGATAATAGAGATCAGTTGACACTACGTATCTTGTACGAAGCTAACATAATGCGATGAACGACGAGGTCGTTGTCCGTCATATTTGTAACCTCAGAACATTGAAGATATCATCTCTGAATCTTGAATAGTATAGGATACATTGCGAGACAACAAATACTTTGGATTGGGATAGATCGCGAAGCAAAATCGAAAGGGTGATGCTTGAATGTCGAAGGAAACACCACTTTCCTAGACGTCGAGTTACTACTCAGTCGCGGGGCGAATGTGCAACTATGCAGTTATCATTCGAGAATGGAAATCCGACATAAAATGTGCTTCATTTTGATGCTATCATCAAGGCTGTGATACGATTCAAAGCTGTGAGCCTGTGCAGAAAAAGCAGGGAACAGCAAGCAGAGATGTAGAGCTTTTGTTTTCCGATCGGTGGCCCCAAGATCTGGTGATTTAAGTTGGCCCAGGAGAGTATAATAGGAATATCTGAGTGGTACTTGCGGTGACCTAATTTCATTCCAGTACTCAATTTGATAGAGCGGTAGCACCAAGCAAGGCAACCATCATATTGAAGAAACTGACAAGAATGCAAGCGACAATCTGGCAAATAAGGCTGACGAGAGTGATGTCTGGTGGTTTTCTTTATGGATGTTCTGAGCTAGATGTAGCAGTAGTAGTAATAAGTAGGTTTGCTGAACGATGCAAAGAATTCGAGTGAACGATGTAGTTTTTGGACGATTAAATTTTCTAATGAGTGAGTAAAGAAAAGAAAATTGAGGTCATTCGGTGACTCAACTCGCAAGAAACCAAAATACTTGTAGGTTTACCTGCGAGTATATCGATCGTATTGCCCCGACTCATCACATGACATACTGGTACTTCATTTAAAAAAATGAATAGGAACACACCAGAACCGTAGATGCTTATTAACCGGCCCACTTTATTGACCCATCTGCGGCCGCGTTGACCGAATCTAAACTCAATACAGCCAAGTTTGTCACATTTGCAGCAACCAGCCCCAAATTTCCCGCTAGCGAAAGATGTATAAAGTCTCCTCTTCTCCCTTTGAATTCCCTCCGTTTTTCTTCATCTTAGTGCATGGGTTTTACGCATATCAGTGAGGATTCGTCCGAGATTGCGTTTTTGCTAGTTGAAAACTATAACCATGACCACTCCAGGTTGGCTTCGGCTGGCCTGGGAATCTTTGGAACCAAACGTCTTCTCGTAAGAGATCTATTTTATTGTTTTTCATTGCGGTTCGGCTTCTTGTAGGCTGGCGTGAAGAAGAATTGGAGAGAGTGATTTGATGACGACGACGAGGGGTAAGGGTGAAGGAGGAGCGAATGTAGGAGCAAGGCTGGAAATTGACATGTATGTAGATTGTAAATGAAACTATTTCCTTGATGGCAGATTATTCTTTGGTGTTGTGCTGACGATTTGATGCTGTTATCATGATTTGTAACGTAGCTGTCGCGAGTACTCTTTTGTCTACACCATACATATGAAGAGAGTATCATCACCTGGAGAGCGACGTAGCATTCCTGCGGCTAAGTAAGTCTATTATTATTGTAGGTACGATTTCCATTAAGCCATATGCGAATCCCCCATCGATGATGTAAATGTGCTTGTTACATTCAGCACACGCAGCAAATCAGGAAGGTCGAAGAACAAGCACAATAACAACCAACCCACTACCCCCCATCTCGATACACCACAATCACATCTACATATTCATCATGACGAAGACCGCACTCGTTACAGGCGCAACCGGTCTACTTGGCAGACAAGTTCTCAAGGTATTTGATCGAGAAAATTGGAGTACAGTTGGCACCGGTTTCTCGCGCGCAAAGCCTCCTACCATTCTCAAGGTAGATTTGGCTTCCGAGTCTGAAGTTTCAAAGGCGTTGAATGAATCCAAGTAATGTAACATCTTCACGATTTTCAATGCAGTACTGACGGTAAGAGTGTTTGAAGACCTCAAGTCGTAATTCATTGTGAGTTTCCATTAGCATTGCTACCTGGTTATCGCCGCCATTACTAACCCCGCAATTACAGGTGCAGCGAATAGATTCCCAGACAAATGCGACAGCGATCCTGAAGGAACACGCGCTCTCAATATTGCAGCTTCTGCTTCATTGGCAAAACTCTGCGCTGAACAATCTATCCTCCTCATTTACATCTCGACCGATTATGTTTTCCCCGGCACCGAAGGTGATGCTCCTTACGAGACAAGCCACACCGTAAAGCCCCCGAATCTATATGGAGAAACAAAATATGAGGGCGAGAAAGCCGTATTGGCAGAATATGAGAAAGCAGGCAAATCTGGTCTGGGAGTGGTCTTGAGAGTTCCTGTACTCTACGGAGAAGGCGAACCTGAAGAAAGTGCAGTTGGTGTACTTGTCAAATCGGTCTGGAAAGCCCAAGAAAAAGATGCCAATATCAAAATGGATCACTGGGCCCTACGCTATCCTACCAATACAGAAGATGTAGGTCGAGTTTTATCAGAGATTGCGACCAAATATCTTGAAAGTGAAGACCCATCATCTTTACCACGAGTCTTGCAATTTTCATCAGAAGACAAATTCACAAAATATGAGATCTGCCAACTCTTTGCAGAGATTTTGGGCTTGCCGTTAGATGGTATGGTGGCAAATACAGAGGGAAATGATCCAAATGCTAGTGTGCAGAGACCTTATGATTGTCATTTGTCTACAAAGGCATTGAAGGACCTGGGAATCAATGTTGCCACGATGGATTTTACTGGATTTTGGAGGAGGGAGATGAATGCTTTTAGGAAGTAGGGAAGCATCAGCCTGGGATGAAAAGGTAGTAGCTGAAAACTCTCCAATACATGACAATAGTAGTATTTTCTCACCCAGAATTACATTATTGGCCAAATTCGTATCGCAATGGAATATCCAGGAACAACTTCTCGTGTCCAAGGCTGGAAGTTCTGGTAGTTTAATGTATTTCAATAGCTATCATTGGCAAAACGGTCCAAGATCTTTCGAGTCTTTCCTATTTTCTTTCCTCTTTTTAGGGTAATGTCTCTTCAATTGAGAGCTCGATTCTAGTAGCTATGAGAAAGTCAGGCTGATTCAAAGTTTTGAGTGCTTTCGTATACTCTAATAAAGTATCTTTTCCAAGAAACGAAAACAATGGCATCGTGGGCTAGTGTTCATAATAGTACTTGCAGTTAAAAATCCGGGAATATGCTCTTCTTTCTTATTCACTTGCAGTAATAGCCATGATTTTGATGTGCCCATGGAAAGTCGCTATGGTGTATCTCGTTGACAGTCATTCGAGATAGCTTCTTGCTTGAGCACTGAACTGCAGAGATGTACTCGACGTTTTTTTGGATTGTCAAGATGTTTCCATTCGAGACGGATCATGAGGTTGACAAAAGTGAGTTATTTGAAATCAAGTAGAGAACGTGTGAATGAGGCCATCGGCCGATCGACTTGGTCCATTACAAATACCTCGACTTGCATGCATGTCGATGTTCATGTCAAAGTCCTCCTTATCTTACGGTGTGCACGTAGTAGATGCGGCGCGTGGTGTGCTACATTTGAAACATGTCATTTAGATCGGTCGACATCGGGTTCCAAATCGTTTCTTACCTAGAACGAGAACGTCGGATAGCTGCTTCTGCAGACCAACGTCAAGACCTGTTACTTGCTCATGTATGAACGACCCGGTGAAATCTGCGAAAAAAATAGCAGCGAGGAGAACAAAACCGGGATACTCAGATTTATCCGCATGCTTTGCAACGCACGGAATCGATTCGTCCTCTTACGGCAACAATTTTCCTCTGAGCTTGGTAGATTAAACCAGCATTGCTCTTCCTTGTTCTTAGATGCCATGTCGTTAAGCGTCTAAAGAAATGACAGCATATGAGAGCAGCTTTGTTTTTTTGATATCAATGGTATATTCCACGTTGCATACTTGCAAAAAGCACCTGAGACCCCATCCTTCTATCTTTTGACAAGCTGTGATGATCGACCCTTGCCCATCCTCTATTCCAAGAACGTATCTATGCTCTAGGGATCAAACAGAGACGAATTCCTCGTACTTCTCTTGTGCCCTCACTAACCATTTAGTCAGATCGGCGATTGCTCTGCCAACCCTAGGGCATGAGCTGAAATTCATCTACAGGTATTTTTGGCAAATGCTATTTGCCATGATCATTGACACGTAATTAACACTTATGATCTCAAGAAAAACCACAGCACCTCGGGTAAGCGGCTGATGCTCATCGGCTCGGGATGATTTGGTCGACGGCTTACTCTCTAAGCCCTTGCAGTTCTAAAGATAGAGCGAGATAAAATTGTGTTACTTCTTTGACTAGAAGCATCATTTGTCCAGTCTAGTACAGATGAAGCCAATCCCTTTAAAGCTATACTTGGGTGCCACGAATCACAAAAGGCAGCGGCGCTATGCTCGAATATGGCTTAGTATGACAGTTACACAATGTGTCAGGACTTGAGCTGAGGTGCCAAAAAACATAGCAAGAAACTATCAACATTAGTGTCTGTGCATTAAAGCTTGAGAATTTCTATATTCCAAGATCTCATAAATTTCTAACTTGTAGTTCTCGTGAGCTTGCTTCTATTTTGCACTGTTTCATGTATAACTCCATTTCAGTCATTCTCAGTCTGGCTTCAACCGCAATGGCTACTACGTGTATCGCAGAGCTTGCTACTCAAGTTGCTGAAAACACGAAGACAATCGACGAGTATCTTCGCCAATATGATTTGCCCTCACCATTTTTTGATGCTGAAAGACTAGTTGACTTTTGCATCCGATCAGAGGAAATTCAACGGGCTCGTATCTTGGCGATTGACGGAGTAGTAGAACTGGCAGATCTATTGAGGGGTCCTAAAGTCTCTTTACAGCCTGTGGCAAGTACAAATTGCCTAGTCATCTGACTAGAGTCGGATTAATGATAGAACTTTCGCAAGTCAATCCTACTAGTCTTCAGGCTATCCATAGATTTGAGATCGCCAAAAAGTGCCAATTTGGGGTGAAATAACCTTCAAAGAACTGGCCAAGCAATGTGATCTCTACGAGCCAGGCCTTCGTCGCATCACACGTTTTGCAATATCATTTCATAGACTCTTTTAAGAACCGCGTCGAGGTTTTGTAACTTATTCAGCAGCTTCCCGCAAGTTGGCGGAAGATCAAATTTCCATGATGCTTTAGGTTTGGTATTCGATGAATTCGTTCCATCTTATGGACGGGTCAGTCTCTGTCTCAAGATTGAGATTTTCATTTGCTAAGTTATATGGTTAGACGGTCGATGCTTTGAAACAATTCAAAGGTCAAGAGCCAAGCCAAGCTGTGGTTCTGTGGTCCTCTATTCCTTCATTCATGATCGAGGATCTAGTGAAGAGTCTATCAAATCGTCGATACTGATGTAGTCTTTTTGGAACTAGGGATTTGCGCTTGTACAAAATACCACGCAACTTTTCTTCGAGTACATGGGGGACCATCCTACAAGAGCTAAGCAATTTGCTGGGGCCATGAAAGCCTTTAATGCCATCGATTCGGGACATTCTCCTGTTTTTCTTGCTCAGGGTTATTCATGGGATTCTATCAACGGCACCGTCGTTGACGTTGGTGGCTCCAAAGGCCACATTAGTATCTTACTCTCAAAGAGTTTCCCTATGCTGCATTTCATCGTACAAGATCTTCCTAAGTTTATTGGAGGTGCAAAATCGAAGCTTGACGCTAGTATTGCGGATCGTGTGAAATTTCAAGGGCGTGTCTTTTTCACTTCGCAAACCGTGGCGGCCGATGCATATCTCTTCCGCTGGATCTTCCACAACTGGCCTGATAAGTATGTTGTCGCTATCCTGCGCACTCTTGTTCCGGTGATGAAAATTGGCGCTCGGATCATTGTGAATGAGCTTTTGAATCCGCCTCGAATTCTCTTTCGCTTTCTAGTGAACGTTCAATTCGGTACGACTCCTTCTATTATCCATGTAGCTGAGAAACAAATTTTCCAGGCTGACAATATACTAGTTCTCTCGATATCATTATGCTGAGTATGCATAATTCTAGAGAGCGAGAAGCGGAAGAGTGGCAAGATCTTTTCCTGGAAGCGGATCCACGTTTCGGGGTCTTGAAGATTTGGACAGCGATCGGAGCATCCCTTGCTATTATCGAGGCTGTTTGGCAAGAATAAATACTGGCATGCTCGCTTTTGACTCAAACTTTCATGAGCTCATTGGTTAGAGTTCTTGTGGATATAGTGTCGTTTCTCGACTAATAACGACTTAAAAACTGCTCGGAAAGGATAGTTTAGAAGTAGATATCATCAAAGTTCAATTATAATTAATCCAAGTTTCTCCATGTTCATTCCGTATCCAGGTCTTCATTCAATTCAGCCAAAGTGTCCTTTACTGGTGAGGTATAATTGAAAATGCACAGAGACTTCCAAAGGTTTAATTCATCATAACTCCTTACGATGCAATGGAGTACTTTTCTCACAGAAATTACCATTATCTACACGACATTACGGCAGAAAGATACCAGAAGTCGTATAAATGCATAGCTTCCATCGAATTCACCGATTAGTATTTGGTAACCGGCCAAGAAAACACGGTAGGAAAGTTCATTCAAAGGAGTAGCCATCGGTTCATTCGCAACATCTATATTCGCGGCGTCCTCCCTCCTCTACATCATTTGCATAGCATGAACCATATCCTCTGAAATGACGGGAATGCTACAATGAAATAGCCTCACATCAGCGATATGTTGATCTTACCAGACACACCGAAGTCCTGATACTTTGCGCGTCTATCAACGTTGAAGTTGAGATGCCATTTCGAGACGCCTCAAATTCACAATTCACTCACTATATCTTTTGTTTAACAATTACTTACTAGATGAAACATCAAGGTCATAACTGAGCATGCACCTTTCGCAGGTTGGTAGGCTGCCGAGCTCTCGAGAGGCGGTCTTCCACAGAAAAAATAAAAGAAAAAGCAAACCATGCAACTTCAAGTGGAAATTTCGATGCCCCATAATTGTTGTTGCTTGAGGATAAGTATCTACATATAGATCTGAAACCGCCTTGAGAAGGATAGATAGCATAAATTTTCGAAAGCCATGTACGAGACGAGGCATATTTCATCACCTCCACATCACAACCCTACTTTTATTGATATATAAATGAGGACATCAAGAAAACTTAGCATATCCTCTTCTTAATGGAAACATGTTGTTGTGTATGGAAGAATTCTCTCCTTTAAATAGATCATCTAGCCCGTTGTGACGTGAGCGAATATCGATTCGACCGAGGAGGAAAGTTTTTGAGAATACTGAAGTCGAGGAACCTCAATCACAGCGTCTCGCTAAGATTGATCAATCGTATGTATTGTATTTACAGTAAAAACCCCGAATATCATCATTTCATGTATTGATATCTCAACTAGTATATAACAAAACAAAATATCATCATTTCGTTTTACTATTGTTAAATTTATAGGCTAGCAAGTTTCAAATCTAATATACAACCTTTTAAGAATTAATGAAATAAAAAGAAAAGATATAAAATTGTTAATTAGAATTCAAGAAATTTAATAAAATAAATTATTTTAAATTATTTCGAAAATTAAAATTAAAATTCAATTTAATAGTATTTCAGTAATAAGAGGGTTAGCGCTAAAGCTTGATTATTATAACAAAATCAATTGAAAAACTATTAAATTAAATTTTAATTTCAATTTTGAAGATATTCCAAAATAATTTATTTTGTTGAATTTCTTGAATTCTAATTGATAATTTTATCTCTTTTCTTTTTATTTTATTAATTCCTAAAAGGTTGTATATTAAATTGAAAGATTAATAGGTATTACAAAATACTAATTGAGGTTACTTTAATTATAAATCTGATATTTGAGATATCAATATATAGAATGATAACATTCGGGGTTTTTATTGTTGTATTTATTAGTTGTAAATATACTTTGAAATTAGTTGTATATTCTAATCAATTTATCTATTCATCATATAGTCTCACCAGAAAATATAGATAGTGATATATTTCAAGGAGATATAAACGAATAGACCTTTTCATCCTCCTCACCAAGGAGATATATATGTTATCTCCTGCAATATAAACACAATCCCTTTGCGTTTTCGTGAAGACAGCACAGAGACTGTCGTCTTGGAATTTATCAACTCTCTACTCTCTACTCCTTTCTCCGCGTCGCGGAGTCTACATAAAGCGAGCTGACTGGGAACCGAAGAGAGACAATTCTCTAACACAATGCGACAGGATCATCAATACCAGACAGTTTCTCTTAGTCTTTAGTTTACTTCGGGAGGTTGCCAAGAATCCAGGATCTATGCATAAGATATTTTCCTGTATCTTATGACGCATTAGCGTCCTTGCTATATATCATAGTGGGAAGACTACTGTTTATGATTAGTATCAAATCCTCGATTAGACTGATTATAACGGGATAACTTCTGGGAGTATTGAGAAGCTTTACCACTGAGCTAAAAGTCTAAGAGACTAGAAGGTAGAGCTGGAAATTCTATCTTACTCTTACATATATAGTAGGACAGGATAGTAGGACATAGGATAGGCTAGGGTTAATATTAATAGTCACTCCTTTCTTCAAGGTATGATCTCCATACCTATATCACAAGAAGACAAATAGGCAGATTTATATATACTAACTCTTAGATTAATAAAAGCTTATAAGTCATGAAAAAGTCTTCTATACCACTTCATTTATAATCAAAGATAATTCTATCTAATATCACAGAATTATTTCTAAAAGTATTTAGTATACTTTTTGCTAAGCTAGAAGCTCAAAAGAATAAGAGGTAGAATTGGAGGTTCTATTTTACTCTTACATATATAGCAGGATAGAAGGGTCAATGTCATTTCGTGATAGTGATGGGCCTCGGTGCTTACAGTGTCGTCAGCCTCGTCATCACCCCGCGATTTTAAACCCCGCTTCAAGTGTGATATGATTCCTCACTCTACCACCTCCCACTTTGGCAACTCTCACAGGTACAAATCACTAAAATCAGTAGTCGTTGTTCAGTATTACGTTTCAGCGACAGATCGCTTAAACACACGTAGACGTTTTGATTTCTGGACTGTCTAGACTCGCCCGTATCATTAGTGGTGCAAACTTTGACTTTGCACTGCGTTCTTTATCTCACAGCTCAGATGGCACACGCCTTGCAAGAAGAAACCCGAAATCATCAATGGACGACGCAAAGCAGCAACTAGGTTGGTACGCTGATCTTTCCGAGTATGAAGGCATGTTGACACTGTCACAAAAACTCGACAGCCAAAAACTTCTCCAGGCTCCAGCAATTTCGGTTAATCTCGACGCCTGTATCAGCATAATGCAGTCGTCTCATCCTCGGAATGGATAAGCGAGTGTGAAGCTTGCCAAAACATTTGGCTTGTTTTCACGGCCAGATTCGGCAATGCCAGTCAATCTGGGCTGTTTTACGGAGGCTCTGGCCACACAGTGCCGCACACATAAGCCATTAGTGCAAGCTTTTGTTGGCCATGTGCGCTCATGCGAAGAGCTCGACAGTTCTCCAAGGCAAGGACAAGATGACCTTAGCATCATCCCTAGAGGTTTAGAGAGCAGCGTCATGATTACAAAGACGATCTCAAATTTGGGTTTGTGCTGGCGTCTGTTGCTAGTGAGGAAGGAGTCCGTACCGCACCATCCTGGTATTTGTCGCATTCTAAACCCTGATTGGGTTGATGTAGAAATGCTGAATCGGTGGTAAAAGCAGTGTCTTTCAACACATGGTGCGAAATGCGAGAATCCGTGGAAGATTTGGCCGAAAAGGCTCGCTTTTTTCATCGACATGAACATCAAGTGCCTCGTCGCGGGTTGTATCTCTGACGCTTTTGTGGCACTCAGCTACAGGTACGGTAGATCACCTATTCCTATAATTGACGCCGTGATGCTTGAAAGGCTGCAGGAGCCCTATGCTTTGGATACCCTTGGAGTTTGAAGAATTCTTGTCGCCAGTGATCCGACATGCCATGTTCCTGACCTCGGTCATGAGCGAGCGGTATCTCTAGGCAGATGCACTCTGTATCCCTCACGCAAACGAGAAAGTCAGAGCTGAGGAATTGAACATGATGGGCGCTATCTGCGGCAACGCAGTCGTCCTAATTGTTGCTACAGATGGCGACGCACAAGATGGGCTTCGTGGTCAGGAAGGTGTTTCTCAATCCAGAGATATGAGCCAACGCATTTTTCATTTCGGTAGTGAGCAACTTATTGTGGGGAATACAGGTACTCTCGATTTATCGGTTGGAGGCGATTATCATAACCGAGGTTGGACGTTTCAGGAGCACCGTCTTTCAAGAATAAAGGTAATATTCAAGAATGAAGAGCTGCATTGGCAGTGTCAGTCTAGCGCTTGGCACGAAGGGATGATTCCTGGCGCAGAAATTGACAAATACATCGACCCACGGCAGAATGTCATCACGGCTGGCTTTCCTGACTTGCATTCTCTGGGTCATATCCTCTCAGAATTCAATAAAACAGAACTTCGGTATGACGAGGATGCTTTACCCGCTATCTCTGGGTTGCTATCAGTTCTGAGTCGTACATTTGCTGGCGGATTCTTGTACGGCATTTCGGAGACGTTCTTCGAACGAGGATTAGGCTGGAGTCCCTACTGGAAGCACTTGAACATCCGAAGACGTGATTTTTCGGAAATTTTTGGAAAGGACCGTCCATCTCAGGCAGGCTTGCCATCGTGGTCTCGGATCGGCTGGAACGGTCGACTTAACCTCTTCGGGTCCGGTGAGGCGACTCGAATCAATGACAGAGAAACTATGATCAAAGAAACAATCCCGATCACAAAGTGGTACACAAGCAACTCTTCCAGTAACTTGCCGGAAAATAGAAGGAGAATCAGGTCCACGTGGTTTGAAAATCGCGATAATTACAAGGATTTTGCAAAGCCATTGCCTACTGGTTGGTCGTGCCACGACGCCCCCGACACAGGATCGTCCTGGGGAGAGCCTCACTTGCAACCAGATGAGTGTGGGAAATACATTTTCAAACACGTGGGTATGCCTGATTCTGATATGGGATCGAGCTGCTATCTATTCCCGGTCCCTGACATCCATAACTCGACGCCGCCAGTCATGCCAGAGCAGACATCCTATTTGTTTTGCAAGACTTGGAGGGCGCATCTCTGGGGACGACAAGCGAGCAGAGGAAACATTGCCAGAACTTTTAATAGCTCTGGAAAAGATATTGGCTCTCTGCAATTACACAATAAAGCTTCCCTGTCTCTCTTCCCAAGCATAGATTCCGAGGTTATTCACGGGTTGCCGGTGGACCTAATAGCTTTGTACAAGTCACGAGTACATTCGAGGACGTGGAATGCAGGTCAAAAGAAATATGAACACCCATTGCAAAGGAAATCTAAATGTAAAGTATTATGGGTGGAATGGAAGGACGGTATTGCATATCGTCTTGCTCGTGGGCAGGTGAAGGCAGGAGAATGGGAAAATTGATTCTGGAGAATATCGAGCTAACTCTAGGTTAGGGAGAACATCAAAAACTATCAATGATTACTTATTTCGAAATTCGATATCAATTGAAATATTAAAATTAAAGATATGAAGCTCTATATTCATATAAATATTCAATTGAATTCTATATATTCTTTTTCAAAAATAAAATATTTATATTTCAATTTTAATTATTCAAGAGATTAAGAGGCTAAGGTATAGGAAGCAGAATTCGCTAATTTCCAGGCTTCGAATCCTTAAAATTAAAGCCTCAAAAACACTTTTTAAATTAATTTTTCTAAATGTTAGAGTTCTCTAATAGGGAATGTATTAAATAAATTCTAGGTTATTTAGTAGGGATTTAATAAGTCAATATATTCTAATATATTCAAGATTAATTATATATTTTGATTAGCTCTAAATATATACTAAACTCTATATATTATAATCTTTTTTTTATAGTATTAGAATTTATTTTTATTTTTTAAATCTACGATATTTATATTTAATATTCTGAAGTAACGAATGTTCTTTTAACATACATTAAGCTCTCAGATTGCTTAATATAAATTCCTCGATTTATTTAACTATAGACTCTTTAATAGTTCTCTTTTATTAATATAAGCTTTATTCGACTTAGTAATTATATTCCTATAACATTAAAATTGTTTTTCGAATATTAATTTTGAAAATCTGAAATCTTGATATATAATCTATTAATAAATTCTTCTTATATATATAAAAACTTATTGAATTGTTTATATTGATTCTTTTGATATTAAACTTCGAAAGTACTAAATAGTTATGAATTCGAATAAAGAATTCGATTAAAATTATAATCGGTATTCATTTAAAATGATATTAAATGAAATTTCTATTATTAATTATATCTATTTTTCCTATATAAGAATTACATATCAAATAGTCAAACAAGTATTTAATATTGTTTTAAATAAATATCGACTTTAATTTTAGATAAAATCTTTACTCAAATTTATGATTATTTAACATTTTCGAAATTCAATATCAAAAGAATTAATATGATTACTTTATTTAAATCTTATTTAATAAAAATGAAATCTATTAAAATATTATATGTAAAAGTTTTAGAATTTTAAAAATAGTATTAAGGAAATAATAATAAAGTAAAAAACGATTTAAAAGAGTGCTGCTATGGGTTTTAATTTTAAGGAATAAACTGTTACGGGAGCTGCCTCTAAGGTTATGTAGAAGTGTCTAAAGATCTCTCAAAATGATTTAGATTAGATTTCAAATAGGAATTCAATAAGGTTATAATTGATTATAATTCTTATAATTATAGTAATGAAATTAATAATTATTCTTGAATATAAAGCTTTATATTCTAATAAAACTCATTTGTTATATAGACCTTCATTATCTAGAGCCCTTAGGATCTATATGCTCTTAAAGCCTGTAGCTCCTTAAGGCTCCCTTATATAATACACAAATATATCATGTGATATTTGTTATAACACTATCTTCGTCCTAGTCTAGTACTTATTCTAAGCATTAATATAGTACTATCTGTTCTTATATGATACTCATATTGTATCATACCTTCTTGTCTTTTAACTATATCATTAATTGTTAATAAAATTCGAATAACAGTTAGAAAACGTGAAGAACAATTAATCCTTACTTAGCTGATTGATTCCTATAGTGTTGAAATGTCTCCGTATTCTCATTACCATAAACAAGGTTTGCGCTATATTAAGGATTACAGCAATCCCCAAAGAACTCGTTATTCAGAATACATGCGCTCCCGAGTTTCTTGCAATACTGAATTTGCTCTAAAGAATGATTAAGATCGAGAAGTTCCTTATACCTCTGACTAAGCTTCCCTAGATCGTCAAGAAGAGAAATTGAATAAAGAGGAAGAACATGTGATCGCGACTTCCCAAGAAGTAATAGCCAAGGTAGTTCGTTTTCATAAACAAAAGAAATTTCTTCGCGAATATAGGAAGAAAATGGCCAACTATAGCCTAAAATATTTGGATGAGCTTGATACTCTAGAAGAAAAGGAAAGACTAAAGAAAGAATGTGTTGAAAGAGAAAAGGAAATGATGTTTGCTCCTGTCGCTAGTCCTAGCAATGATTCCTTTGCTTTCGACTCTTCTTTGGATCCTTCGATCCTTGTTTCGATGGAATCTCCTTCTTTCTAAGTAAATTCGGGTATTTCTGGTGAAATGCCTCCAACTTCTCAGGGCAGTTGAGGTTTTCTTTTGATTCCTATGAATTTTCAGTATATAGATAATCTAATTATTTGATTATATATTTGATTATGCCTTTAATGTATTTACAATCTAGTATTATCTCGATATTGTATATGGCGTTCGGGTTAACTGGTTCGATTTCTATTAATGACGCACTCGGCGCTTTTAATGGTGCTGGTTCGAGTAAGGATATATGGAATACTAGGTGGATATTCATTATGTCTGGTAATTTCAATCGATAGTTAATCATTCCTATTACCTTATCAATCTTGAATGGTCCTAGTTTTCTGTAGTCGAGTTTATTACTTAATCTCTTGATTTCGATGTTTTATTATAGCAAATAAACTTTATTCCCTTCTTTAAGTATAGGTTTTATATTATATTTCGTATTATAGTATACTACTATTCTAAATAATATAAATCTTAGATTAAAAGTAAACTGCTCTTACAAATCTTTCAATTATTCGACTTGTATTATTACTAATTTAATATTAACCTTTTATAGTATTAGTATTTAATATACTCTTAAATTAAATCCAAAGTTAGTGTATGCTAATGTTATCTTCATGGTTTCTGTTTCCGATGTATTATATGCGAATTATATCATGAGTAATAGCTCTACTTAATTATCTTATTGATAATTTATATAGCATTTAAAATATGCTTCCATTATTTAATTGATCCTTTCTGTTTGACTATCTATTTGTAGATGAAAAGATATTGATAGCTTTCTCTTAATACTTATAAGTGCTAATAAGGTAGTCCAGAATTTCGAGATAAAGAGCTTGTTTCGATTCGAGATTATCTTATCTAATACTCTGTATATACTTACTATAATCCTAAGGAATATATATACTAATTGCTTAATATCTTATATTTCCTTGAATAATATTATATATACAAATTTCGTTAATCTGTCTATTATATTGAGTATTACATTATACTCAATGCCTATAGTAGAATTCTTTAAAAGTAATAGTTTGACTATAAAGTTTCATGTAATAAACTTTTATAATTGAGAAGGTATGTTTAGAGTCTAGAGCTAATCATACGGAGCATATCGTGATAACTTGTTTCATATATAGGTATTACAATTTCCAACAACTTTTTCAATTATCGTTTTCATTTATAGGAAATAACTGATTTCTTATATTCTTATAAATGTTCTTATAATTTCTTAATATCTATATGTCAACAATTTATATTGTTCTATTATAAATTCCTTAATTATTTGACTTGAAATATATACTTTTTCATGAAAATATATAGTCTTATTTTCTATTATAAATCCTAATTCTATTGTTTTATATATATATATAATTGTAGTATCTTTATTGTAATATAATTGAATTTTGATTCTGAGATGATTATCTTCTAATATATATATAGTTACAAGCTATAGTGTATTGTAAACTAATGATTCGCCTTTTTTCTTAAATATAGCATATGATTCGTACAACTTATTTTCTTAATATTCTGGTTTTCAATTAAGAACATTAACTTTAGTGTTTTTTAATCCTTTAATATATGAAATAATGAAATTGTAATTAATTATAATCTTCAATTATCTGATCTATTATTTGTTTAACTATTTCGTTATAATAAAGTAAATCAAATTCTTATAATCTGTATATACCTATACTAAATATTTTAATCCTTTCAAATAAACTCGCTATTTTCTAAATACATTGATTATTACTAATAATTCTTTATTGTATATTTTGTAATTCAATTCAATTGGTGATAATTTTCGAAAGTAGAATGCAATTGATTGTCATTTCTTATTTTGACCTGGTTGGCTCAAAACTACACCTATAGCAAAATCTGAGGAGTTCGTTTCCATTATGATTTGCTTCTCAGAGTCGAATATCAATAGTATTGGTTTCTCAGTTACTACCTGTTTAAGCGTTTTAAAGAACTCCTACATCTTGACAGTCTATTCAAAGCTTTCTTGATCTTTTCTAATTAATATAGTTAAGGGTGTAATAATCCCTGAATAACTCTTAATAAATATTTAATAAAAATTAACAAATTCTAAAAAGGATTGTATTTCCTTAATAATATTTGACTGCTTTTATTTAAACATTATCTTAATTTTATTCTTACTTATCTTAAACCTTTAACTTAATATAATAAATCCTAGAAACTCTATTTTTATAATATAGAATTTATATTTGCTTAGTTTATATAGTAAATTAACTTTAATTAAACTTTCAAAAATATTACTAATATCTTTAATATATTGAATCTTATTATTTAAATATATTAAAATATTATTCAAATAGTATATACAATAGGTATTTAAATATTATAATAGTATATTGTTTATAAGTCTTATAAAAGTAGTTGATACATTAGTTAGCCTGAATGGTATAACTTGATATTTATATAGCCTATATCTTGTCTTAAAAGCAGTTTTTCATTCCTTGCCTTTCTTCATTCTAATTAAGTAGTACCTATTTTGTAGATCTATCTTAGTAAATATTATTACTTTGTTTAATCAATCTCTTAATTCTGTAGCTAATGGAAGTGGATATCGATCTTTCTTTATAAGCGTATTAAACTTTCTATAATCTACAATTAGTCTCTTAATATCATCTTTCTTAGATATTCATATAGTTGAACTTGCTATTTAGAATATAGATTCCCTAATTCATCCCTTGACCAAATTATTGTCGATATATTCTTTAAGTGTCTTTAGCTTATCAGCTAATATTAAATAAATTAGAATATATATAGGCATCATGCCTTCCTTCAATATTATTTTAT